GTGTGTGTGCGTGTCTGTGTGAGTGTGTGTGTGTGTGTCTGTGTGAGTGTGTGTGTGTGTGTGTGTGTCTGTGTGTGGCCATTACACAGTGATTACACTGATCACAGATCACAAGCTGCTGCCTTCAAAGCATTAGAGGAAACATTTTTACTTAATAGGTTCTCAATTACACACAATATTACAGGAGTACAGGCGGGTTTATTGATCGACTGTGTGTGTGTGTGTGTGTGTGTGTGCATAACAGGCATTCATTCACCAGGAGTGTGCGATGCACAAAAAGAGCTACACACAGACACAGAACGAGAGTCGCTACAGTGAAGAAGAGAAGACGAATTAGTGACATTGTTACGTTCTAACTCTCCAGGAGGGGAGTGGGATTCACGCCACTGCCGAGGACGTCCTGTGACCAGTAAACGGGTATGGCGTCGTAGGTGCAAGAAAACAACAATACCTGAAGTTGGGGTAAGCAGGCTTTTATTTAAGCGCTGTTAACAGGGGAAATGAGGAGGGCTGGCGGTACCAAAGCAAAGAAAAGAACAAAATGCCTCCCACCCCCTTACCTGTCCTATCTCCCAACGAAAACCACTAACTGGCACACTAACAAGGCGCCCTACCCAAACTTACAGTAGGTGGCCCAGCCAGGTGTAGCTAGTGTTGTTAGACAGGAGAGTAACCCTACGTGCAGGTATGTAAACTCCGGAGCAGGGCTAAACTACTCCTCATCCCCCTGTAAGAAAAATAACAAAGAAAAAACACAATGAATTGAATACACAGTACACCAAATCACCAGAACTAAATAACTATATTACACCAGCACTCCATACACACAACCGGAGTGACACCCTCCCTGGGTGAAACAAACACAGGGGTACATATACTGACAGAAGGGCATGATGGGATTGGAGATGAGTGGAAACAGCTGAACCGGGTAACGAGAGTGGGTGGAGCCAAGATGAACGGAGATCATGGATGATCAGTACCACCTGTATGAACACACACACACACACACACGAAACAGAACACATACCTATACACAGAACAGGGGACGTAACAACATACACACACGCACAAAGATACACAACCACGCACACAGAGACATAAACACACAGACAGACACACACAGAACATAAAGGTTTCAATGGTTTTGAGTTTTTAAAAAATATTTTCTGTTTTTTTTAACACGAAAATACACACTTTTTACGGTTGTTTCCGTTTAAACGTGAATTTACTTTAAGTTGATGTTGAAACATGAAACTGTAGGTGAGTCTGTATCTGACCTCTGACCTATATATATATATATTTATATATATATATATATATATTAGAACCTGCTGTAACCTGTGTCTCATTTGGTGGGCTGCATCCTCCAGAGACGTCCCCACCGGGCCGCACACCAATGTGTGTGTTTATAATCACTAAACTAAATGTATAGTTAGTGTATAATCACACTAAACTACAAGTTGAGTTTCTTTGTGTATTTCCTCTCAACGTGTGTAACGTTGATAATATGATGTATAAAGGGGGAAAGTTGATGCAGTGGCCCTGAAGTGCAAAACACAACACAAATAGGAAAACAGAACTAAATTAACTCCTTACGGAAAGGGGCGGGCCTTATAGCAGAGGACGGAGCCAAGGAATCGGCGTCCGTAGCGTCCGTAGCGTTACCCTTTGCGTAAGAAGTTAATTTCATTGTGCGTTCCTGTTTGCCGTTGTGTTTTGCACTTCAGGGCCACTGTAAGTTGAGGCATTAAAGTGAATCTTGTTATTAATGTGTGTTAGTACATTGGTGTCTATAGCAGAACATGGAGGGACTTAGGACCCAGGAGGCAGCGCGGTGGAGGTTTAACTAAGAGCAGTTTGTTCTCACATCTCTTGAGTATTTAAAGCACAACACTGGTTCCCTTCGTCACAGAACATCAGTGACTCTATGAACTAAGATGTGATATTATATTCCAATTAGGGCTGTCAATAGATTAACTTATTGTGAAATGAATTAATCGCGAATAATTGAGATTAAAAGTTATAAATCTTAAATAAATCGGGCGTGGCTTTCTCTTCCCCTCCTGCCGCCAATTAACTTCTTCTTCTACTCTTCTACTCATGCAAGCCGTTCACTCATCAAGGCGCCGTTCTCCTCGCCAGCAGTCACCTGCTCTGGCAGCCGCTCTTTGAGCAGAGTGTGTGTACGCAGTTAATAGTGATAATTACAGTAGATCACAGACACTTCAGAACGCTTGCGCCGCCTTTGAAATATGAATAAACACAGTTAATCTGTGTGTGTGTGTGTGTGTGTGTGAGGTCATCAAAGAGGTTTTTCATCTTGTGGTCGTGTCTCTGAAACCCTTCAGTCTTTGTTTGATTCATGGCAGAGAAGTGAATCAGTTTGTAAGTGTAACATGTTCTCTGTATGACACACGGTGTCGTGTTCAACAGCCGATATCTCGGATCAGTATCAGTTGTGGTGCTGTCATGTATTACATGCTTGCATTGGGTTGGTTGGTTACATCACATTGGACACCGACGCCAGCCTCTGTACCTCTGCGCCGCGACGACCCCGTCGGCCTGAGGGCCTCCACTGTTGGTGTGTGTGTGTTTGTGTGTCTGTCTTGCAGGTTCCTGGGGGGCTGGAAGGTGAGGAGGTTGGAGGAGACTCCCAGCCTGCTGCATTGGGCCGTTCTCCCTGAAGACACGGGTGGGATTGGCTCGTGGTGGCCTACGAGAATCCCTCCTGTGAAACGTTGTTTCTTCCTGCTTCTGGAAAGACCCGGTTTATAGTTTGGGAATAAACCTTTTTGTGTTAAAACCCTTAATTGCCGTAGTCATCCGTCACTTCCTGCTGTCGAGGAGCCAAACACCGTACATTGGTGTTATTCTATTGATTACAGTGCAATATTCACATGACTTGATTAATTATATAGTTCCAGAATCAAGGCTGTTTTCTGTACACAAAATGCATTTTACTAATAGTTAGTTTATGAACGGGTGGTCAGTTTATTTCTAATATCCTACAATGGTCATATGTATCTGTATGACGTGTCAGGTCACATGTTCTGTGTGCGATGTGTTAACACTCACAGGGGTTCCCCTTTTACTCCCAAAGGCGTTATTACACTTTTAATTATGGTATTCCGTTTTCAGAGGCCGCAGGAAGAGGTTAAGTGATTAAAACGATGAGCCTTTTCTATTTATGTTGTGATAAACTCTGGGTACAATGGAGAGAGCATCTATGAGCATAATAACAACAATTACACTAATCAATAGTAGAAATACGAAGAAACAGTATCTTCCTGTTTAATTCCATTCCACGGAAGAAGAAGAGGAGGAGGAGGAGGAAGGAAAACAATCAGAAATTAAAGAAGACCTCGTTTGGAGTAGGAACCTTTCACGCGGACCTCTTATACCGCCGGACCTCTTTATCCGAACACACCGTCCGTCTCGGTAAACCTTCCGCAGATTTGTGTTTGAGTCCCGCGAATGTGACCGAACGTTAAAGTCCGACGTCCCTCGTTGCTCGTCGCGGCCGCAGGAGGAAGCCGCCGGCGGCCGATGGGAGAACAACAGTCCGCTGCTCCGAGGTCAGTTTCTCTTCACTGTTCTTGAGTCTTTACGTCCAAATATTCACCTTTACGTGTGTCGGACGTCACCAACGGACAATATTTAAAGTGCAGCAACATTCAGACCTTCTTATACACCGTTCATGACGCGGTTGTTTTTATCGACGGGAAATACAGTTAAGGTTTTTACATTAACGAGGTATTTGTCGACAAAATAACCGGAAGTGACGTAAGACTCGAGTATAATCAGAATCCGCTTTATTCGTTTATTGTCTGCGTATGTTCTCAATGTACATATAATTTATGTAAAGAAAACGAATACGACAACAAAAAAGGAAATACTATAACCTGTGTGTGTATGTATTTATTTATATGTAATACAATACATGGTGATTTAAGGGGACTAAAAGTTAAAGTTAATTTTTTATTTATTATTTAATTAAAAATTATTAAATAAAGTGCACCATCGAACAGAAAGTGAAAGTGACGTGTGCAGTGAGAAAGTGGGGGACCGGCTCTGTTGATGAGCCCGACTACAAGAAACTGTTGGTGTGGCGGGAGGTCTTAGTCCTGATGGACCTCAGCCTCCTGCCAGATGGAAGGGGCACAAACAGGTTTTGTCCGGGGTGGGAGGGGTCGGCTACCATCTTTTGAGCTGCTTCAGAGACCTGGAAGCGAACAAGTCCTGCAGGGACGGCAGGTTGCAGCCGATCAGCCTCTCTGCAGAGCGGAGGACACGCTGCAGCCTGCCCTTGTCCTTGGCTGTGGCTGCAGCGTACCAGACGCTGATGGAGGAGCAGAGGATGGACTCCATGATGGCCGTGTAGAAGTGGACCATCATCGTCTCTGGCAGGTTGAATGAACATTAATCAGTCAACCTGACTGATTAATGTTCATCAGAGACAGCTTGTTGGGACGTCTGGCAGAGTAATTTAACTCCTCTTTAGTTGAACTTTTTCTTTTAATTATGATTTCCGTCCCTGCTCTCTGATTATTTAGATCTTTTGTTTTGTCTCTGACTATTTAAAAAAACTACGAGACGAGTTTATTCAGCAGAAATTGATAAACTCTTCTCTCTCTCCTTGGGCACTACAGTATGGAGTTCTCATCTCTACTCCACGACCTCCATCTCTCGTCCTGCCCAGAGAAGCCCCTCCCCTCTCCCTCCCTTCCTCCAATCACAGAGCTCCTCTCTCGGCTGAAGGAGAACCTGATTGGACCGTCGTCTCACTCTAAAGCAAGCGCCCTGATTGGCCGTGTGGAATGGCTCTTCCAGACAGCGGACCCCCACTGGCTGTTCTCAGCCGATGGGGATAAGGGGTGGGCGGAGCTTCACGCGGCGTACCTGGGTCTGGTCAGGGCTCTGATTGGCTGTGCCGCTCTGCCGGCGTGCGAGGACGACTGCGGCTCCCTAAATGCCGCAGCCTATCAGAGCGTCCCCAGCAGAGCCCAGCCGGTATGCTCCGCCCTCACCGCGCTGCTCAGAACTCTGGGAAACGCAGGCTGTCCGACCGGTCTCCTGCCGGTTATGGCTGCTCACGTGTGCGTGTTTGCTGTCACTCACTTCCAGGTGAGAGTTTGAACTTTGTTTGTTTTGAGCCGTTGTGTCAGAGTCCGTCAGTCGGATCCACGAAAACATTCCGATAATCATCAACACACGATGCACTGAAGCTCATCTGATCCTGTGTGTCCAGGATCAAGCCTGGACCAGCTCTTGCTCCAGAGCGGCGGCTCGGAGCCTGCAGGAAGCATTGCTGAGGGCGGGGCGGTGGAGAGACTCCTCCCACCTCCTGATGGGAGGGAGGGAGGGGGAGGAGGGAGAGCGCAGAGGACTTCTGGGGGAAATCCTGGACTGCCTTCGGCCTCAAATCACCAAGTGAGGACCAGAAAGAGAAGAGCTACAGGAGAGGAGGTCTAGTGCCAGACTAACGTGTGCGTGTGCGTGTCACAGGGACTCGTGGCGCTCGGAAGCTGTGAAGTTGGTGTTTGCTTGGACGCTGCTGCAGGTCGGTTTGACCTATGACCCTCATTCAGCCATGTGATCAGATTCAATCATTTAACAACATTCACCGTTTGAACTTTATGAATCAATCTGTGAAGAAAATTAAATTATTTTAACCAAAATAATCGGGTAGTCCCCCGACCAGGGGGGAAGATATTCACTGTGACACGGACGTATTCCTGTCAGTGTGCTGCGCCCCCCTGGTAGAATGGCAGGGGAGACACTGGGGAGACAGACAGGAGCTGGGTGTGTCCTAAGAAGTCCCCTGGCCGTCTAAGCCTAACTGAGCCTCACACAGAGGAACGCTTTAAGCTTCATCTTACGTGAGCGGACTGAAGGTGGAAGCTGCTTCCACTGAGCTTGGAGATACGTAGATGCTGAAGATGTGAGGAGCTGACGTAGAGATGGAGCTCGTCCTCTGCTTCCTGTCCTCAACGTGTGTGTGTGTCCTTGCAGGTGACTCGCCCCTCCCTCTCCCCCCACTTGTCCCACCTCCTCCCTCCCTCGCTCCTCCTCAGCGACCACTACAAACCAGAGAACTGCATCCTGGGAGTTCGCTGCCTGCACCACATTGTGCTAAACACGGTGAGCACACGATGATGGTGATGATGATGATGGTGGTGATGATGATGATGATGATGGTGGTGGTGATGATGGTGGTGATGATGATGATGGTGGTGGTGATGGTGATGATGATGGTGGTTATGGTTATGATGGTGATGATAATGTTGTTGATGGTGGTGGTGATGATGGTGGTGATGGTGGTGATGATGGTGGTGATAATGTTTATGATGGTGGTGATGGTGATGATGATGGTGGTGATGGTGATGATGATGGTGGTGGTGATGATGGTGGTGGTAATGGTGATGGTGATGGTGGTGGTGGTGATGATGGTGGTTAT